ACCCATCTAAACCAGTGGAACCCTTCGATTTTTAACCACACTAACCTAAAAAGGACACCTATGCTAGTAAGTCTTTCCCAAACCGTCTACCGGCGACAAATAATTCCGCAAGCGGTTGGCGCCGCTTCAGGCGGGAGGTTCCCCTAAACATGGCGCCCCATGCGCTTTCTGCTCACAGGTCGCCTGAAAGCTGCACCAGGCGTACGGGCGCCGGCGGCAAGGAGGTGGTGCTGGTGGAGGTGGTGGTCATGGTGAGGGTGGTGTTCATCTCAGCCATGCGGTACCCTCCCACAGGCTAACATGGAAGCTCCCAGGGCCCATTCGGAAGACTTGGATCCTTTTCTGGAGGCCTTCTGGGAGTTGGTCTGAGAGAGCGTAGCCCTTTGGGTTGACCGGCTTGGGATGGAGTCGCGGAGACCGCAGGCTTTGGGAGAGGGGAAACCCATAGATGTGTCCAATCATGTTCATCTATCCAGGAATTCAGGCTGCTCGAAAAGGCAGGGGGAAAAAAACTAGCGTCAGAAGAGTCAGCCACTGGCAGCTCGCAGAGGATTGAGGTGGCCTCTGGGAGAAGGCTTTGGGCAACAGCGCTTTCGGGCAAGCTCCCTTCCAATCTTGTCATCCCCTAGGTGCCTGGCTTTCCGGCCGGGATCCCTTTGGAAGGGAACTGGGGAACAGGAGACAGGGGTGGTGTTATGCATTCACAGGCGCAAGAAGACTTTGGGCACGTGCCAAGAGGCAAATGCCCCCACTTGACAAGAAGGCCACGGCATCACCAGAATCCCCACACAATTCAGGTGGTGGACTTGACAAAGGGTTCTGGGCGCTCAGTTAAGCGGCTAAAAATAAAAGCGAACCCGATCCCCTCCAAAAAGGGGGCCTTTCCCATTTGGGTGTGTGTGTGTGTGCTTTTTGACGGAACCCTTTTTGGGTGGCATTTCACGGCTTTGGGGGGGTAGGTCCCTAATTTTTAAGGCAAGCCCATTCGCCTAATCAGGAACCCCAACAAACGCGACGAGGGCTGAGCCCACCACATCAGTAGTGCTGCTGGTGGTTGTCATACTCATGGTTGTGGTTGACATACTCATCGTTGTGGTTGTCATACTCATGGTCATCGTGGTGGTCTCCGTGGCTGTCACTGACCTCCAGCGAGTTTTCGGTGCCACTGGAAATGAGAAATTTCCTGTACCATGTCCTTGAAACCAACCAAGCAAACTAAGAAGTCACCCTCAGTGAATAGAATCCAAACAGGCGGCCGACTCCTTGGAAGCCAGCGATGAATGCATGTCTCTCACCGGGCATTTGGAATGCACAGTCCACTCTCTGGAAAAATCCCAGAGCTATATGAGAGGTCGCCTCTGGCGCATTCCAACGCGGTCCAAAATTCCTTGGGCTCCAATGAAACAGCCAGGGAGATCCAGCGGCAAACATCACCACCACCAAATTGGGGTCCCAGCTGTCGGGGGCGTTTCTCGCCGCTCGACATAACAGAACCAAGGAGAAATCAGCAGAGGCGTGATTTTCGCAACATCGATGTTGCTCGCGAAAAGATTAGCATAGCCCTTACATGCAGGCGATTCACGCTTACAAGGCAGTCTTCAAACGGCAAACCCGGCTTACGCAACCCCTTGGTGGAGAGAAACGCCGCGGCATTTGCGCACAGTGACAAAAGCACCGTAGAGCTCTTAATATTTGATGGGATGCAGCGTTTGTTGAACAAACGGCCTTGTTCTCTTGAAATTAATCAGAAGCGACCCCCCCCACCCACCATACACCTCAGAAGCCTTCTAAGAACCCCTTGTCCTTGTGAGAAGGTTCCAACAACCTTTCCTGGGTTATAGGGGGGGCCTTTGGTTGCTGGCTAAGACCCAAAGCTGTCACGCAAGCACAAGACAAAAAAAAGAAGAACAAAAAAAGAAGAAACAAAAGTGGGGCTCATGAGCCAAGAAGCGTTGGCGCAGCAGTGGCCTCACTGTTGTCAGAATCCTGCAACCAATGCTCAGCGTCAGTACCGTCAAGGGATCTACAAGAAGAGGTTAGCGTGATGAAAAACATGCAGGCGGACCATGTTTGATGGGCGGTTTAAGGGAAACCAAACCCCAGCCATATGGACCCTCATGGGCTCCGGTTTCTGCGTGGACCCTATAAGAAGCAACCCCCCCCCAACGACATCCCTCATGTGAGGCCCATCACCGCCTGGAAGATACCTCCAAGAAACACCTTCGGGATGGAAAGGGCCTTTCCGCAGTTGCGGCTTGGTCTACTGGAAAGCCATTTACTTCCAGAACTCTGGACCTAAGGTCAAAGACCAACGTATACTTGGGGTTGATCAATATTCCATTTAGGGCCCCCAAATGACGGGTAGCTGTTCCCATTTAGTGGTTGAAATATCATCTGCTTAGTGGGTTTTCCCAATGGTCATCCCATGTAAAAGGCCTTTTGATCAACCCCCTTGGGGGATTGTAACTTGATGTGAAGCAGGCATCGTCCATCATGAAAGCTTAGGCAGCGAAGTGCGCTGTCGCATCAAGAGTACATCGAACCCTCCACTCATGACTGTCCGTGACGTTGCTGTCATCGCCGTCCGTGACGTTGCTGACATCGCTGTCCGTGACGTTGCTGACATCGCTGTCCGTGACGTTGCTGACATCGCTGTCGCAGACTCCATAACCTCAGCTATGAAACAAGCTCGCTCTTTCGTTGATATGAGATACACACTGAGCCTATTCATGGACTTCACATTTCAACTTAAACCATGCTTGAGATATGTCAAGCAAACAATAGGAATCATCCATCTGTCAGCTACGCAGCGACTTTCGTGGTTTAAAAAAAAAAAAAACAAGGCGCCACGGTCAGCGCTGCGCTGGGCTGAGAGCCATGGCTTCCGGGCAATTGCACCGGGCAGAACATTGACCCCGTAGAGAAAAGGCAGAACTTTGGCCCACAGAGGACAGCAAGGGAAAGTAAGCTGGCCGATGTCCCCTGAAAACTCGACTTTCTTTGTTTCTCGGTTTGATCATGATGGCCAGGGCTGGCCATCGCTCCCATGACCTCAAATGACCAAACTTAGATTTCGGGGCAGCCCCCAGCCCAGCCGTCCGGCCAAGAGGCAACGGAGCTGGCACGAGGTCAACTCTTCCTTGGTGGACGACCTCAGGTCACGCCACACCAGAACCCGCAGGTTAATTTGGGATGGTCCAAAACCGAAACTGCGGGGCGGCTGGATAGTCCAGCAATAAATTCAGGATGGCTTCCATAGGGAGGATTTGACAGACCTTCGTAGGTTGAGTGAAGACCAGGCACCCTTTTGCAAACAGCTTCAAAACAAAATTTCAAAAAGGTCCGCCCACTGCCATGCTCTGAAAGCTAAATGAGCCCCGCATTGCAACCCAACCGCATCTTCAGGAAAGGACGTTCCAACAACCATGCAAGTGCGCAGGAGGGTACTGGAAGACTATCATTTGCAACGCCCTCCTTTTACTTTTGGCTCCGAAAGACCACCTCAGCTTTTGCCACCAAAAAGCGTCAAAAGCAGATCCCAATACAGGAGCTTCCAAATCTCTTGAAATGAACCCTCTGCAAACATCACGGGGCAAATGTCCAGTCTCATAAGGGTCTTTCATGGGCTCAATGGGGGACCCTTTGTGGACATCATTTAGGTGGGGATTCAGGTCCACCAACCACTTGAGGTGGTTCCCACTCTTAAAATTCATAGCCAAAAGAAGAAAAAAAACAAAAAAAAACAAAAACACACAAAAAACCAAAAAAACATCCATGTCCACCAAAACACCCAAAACCCCCAAACGCGAGTCCCTCCCTCGAGTCCCGCTGAGCCCCGCGGCTCGTTGCGGCAGTTGGCCCCGCAGCCCGCGCCGCAGGCCGTGGCTGCCGCGGAGCTCAGGCGCCGCCTCGGTCGCCGAACCCCACCCCCATGTGTGAAGGTCTCCACTGCCCAGCCATTGTTTTACTTGAAAAAAGACAATATATATGTATATGTATATATATATATATGCATATATATATATATATATTATTTATATATATATATATATGGTCACACCCCCCCCCCATGAACTACATTTGCATTGCTCAGTTTATATAACCCGGGCTGCGCAGGTTTCGGGTGCCAAACAAGTAGTTCCGCAGCTTTCGGGTGCCAATGGGTTCTGTGGCAGGTTTCGGGTGCCAATGGTTCCTGGCACTTTGCAAGCAAAGCCGCTGCAAGGACTGCTTTTTTTTATACTCTCGCAACCATCCGTCAGCAGTGCGACAGAAGGGAAGCCCACCCTTGCCGTTGCCCTTGTCCGGAAGGCTTCAGCGCAGGAAACAAATTGCGGCCCACATTGGTGTAGTAAGCATATCCTCACTGGAGCGCTGCGACTGCAGAGACTTCCACAAAGCCCTGGCCTTCTAGGGAAGCAAAGAAAAAACACATCCCGGGGAAACAGCATCTGGGTCTCAGTACCCATACAACCTCAAATCGCAAAAAGATGTTCGCGCAGCTGCCTTCTTGCGCAAAATCTCATCCACTTTGGCGCCTGCACGCTCTGCCAAGCTAGTGAGGCCTGACTTTCTTGTTTGACTATAGTTGATGTTCAAGAGCCATGCCACGACTGGCGCTGCCGTTCCCCACAAGGGGACGGTGGCGCCGTTGCAGAGCAAACAGCAAATCACCAGGAGATAGGCAAAAATAGGCAGCGGCGGGTGCGCCATCTTGACGGCCAAGGCGTGCACGGCCGCAAAGCCCTCTTGGCCAGCAATCTCGCACCCTTCTCGTGACCAGACCTCTTCAACATATGCCCAGGCTTTCTCCATGGTGTATGTATATTGCGGGGGCGCGCCCGGAGTCGACTCCCTCAAATGGAACTGTCTCATCTTGAAGGAGTCCCCGCTACTACATTATGGTTTCCAAACGCTTCGATTGAATCCCAACCCACGAAAGAGCACATCAAAAGAAAAGAAGCCAGCCCGAATGGCCGCCCAGGAGGGGGGAAATAGCTAGCACAAAACCTACAACTGCAGCAAGCAAATGGCGCATCGTGAGCATCCACTATCGAGCTTCTCCAACGCTCCAAACGTGTCGAACTTTTCGAAAATTTCGGAAAGTACGAACTGAACTTTTCGAACTTTCCGAACGTTTCAAACATTTCGACTGTTTCGAACGTCTCGAACGTTTCGAACGTTTCGAACTTTCCGAAATGTTCGATCGTTTCGATCGTTTCGAACGTTTCGAACTTTTCAATCGTTTCGATCCAACTTTTCGAACGT